CAGGTAACACAATAGGTGAGAAACATGGTTACCTTCTCTTGAAACCCGTGTTTTAAGTGGAAAGGCTCTATCATCAAGGATTTATCAAGGGCATAGACATCTATATGTATTTTACCCACTTCAAGCAAAAGCATAAAATATGTCTTACAGGAAAAATGATAAAGTAAAATAGTCATTAAAGGTTCAAAAGGAAGAGAAGCAAAGAAATTCAAGACAAAGCCCAAGTCTTACACTGAACAATGTCTAGAAACTCAGAAACACTGTAAGCAAAAAGCTTGAGACAGATCTGTAAACAATGGGGACAAAAAAAAGATTTATGGGTCTTATGGTATCAAAAACTGGGAGATAATGCAGTTCTTTAGCCTGCTACAGGGGAGACTGATAAGCTACAATCATGAAACAAATACATGCAGAGGGAAGCAATTTGTTAAAGAGATGGAGACAAAGATGGCATGGAATGTTGAATGCAGCTACTCCTAACGACAGCCTAATGAGACTCATAGATAATAAGGGACAAGCCTTTTAAAAAATAAGCTACCACTGAAGTCACCAAGGAAGAAAATTCAGCTTCTCTGACAAAGGCCCAACCAGCCAGCTATGAAATCAGTAAAGTCGATATGAAAAATAAACATTTGTGACTGATGTAAAATATGTTCCAATGTTGTCAATGGGACCAGTTCACCATTAAAAAGTTGAAATAACAGAAGAAACCATGGTTGGACCAGCCAAAGTGGAATGATTAGGAGAACACGATACCTTGTGGAACTGACCTTGGCTAGTAACTGTGGAAGAAGGCAAAGAGAAAGGTAGGCATAAAAAAAAAGAGATTCTCCCAATTTTGACTCAAAGAATTCACTTCCAATGAAGATGGATCTGTGACTGGAGACCAGTAGAGTGGAATATGATAGTTTTCTGTCATTGCGAAGGCATTAATCGATGGATGGATGGGTGGAGGGGAATAGCTGATAATCAAAGGAAAAAGAATCCATCAATATGTTCATCAAGAAGGGAAGCAGCATAAAGTAAAGGTTATGAGGTTGAGTACTGCTCTGTTTGTTGATGTATGTGAACAATGTGTGAAACAATATAGTGTGTTGGTGCAGAAATGATGAACCATCCAAGATCCAATAAGTTGATGTGAAATGCTACTTCCTGTGGAGTCCATAGTTTCAAACAACTGTGAAAATATTGGTTATAAATAATAAATGACTTGTAAGGCAAATTTGTAATAACCTTGTTTTGATTTATAGCACTAAAGTTTTAAATGATTCCTTCATTACTCTGTAATTCATGTTTCATGAGCAGCCTTCACACACATTGACAAAAGAAATGATTTTAATCTTTCTATCTTAACATCAAGGCCAAGCTATCACAATAATTTATATCAAATAAATTGACATTACAACCATCAATGCCCAAATGCTCAAAGCATTATACTATAACAGTAGTTTGGCAACTTACCTGAGAAATACTTCTTCAAATTCAACAACCCAAGTGGGAAATCACAAACACATGCATAACCTTAAAAACATCTACATATGTCATAGTCCCTTTTACAATGCTTTAAAATTGTATCAAGCTGTACATAAGTTGATGGTATACACTGTACAATTTGCCAATGGTCCACAATGTTACAACTTAAGATAAATGATGCCTAGGTGACCAATGAATAGATGAAATGAACTAGGTAAGCAAAGGAACAAAAAAACTACAGGTTCCTAGATTTTGATATTTTTTTACCCGAATCCTACGTTACATTGATATTATATATAAAAAAAACTCCTGAATATTTCCACACTAAAAAATTATGAGATTAAATTCCCAATTCTATGAATGCATTGAAACCCTGTGAATGAGTGCCAATAAGAAAAATCTGATTTATGGCATGAGAGTATAACTTTGTAGTTTCTCTTGTGCTGGAGAAATAAGAAATGTGGTTTTTGACAGAGCAAAAACGATTTAACAAAAAAAGGCTTACAATACTTCAAGGGTATGTCAACCTGATTTGAATAAAAAATATTGCATTTTATCCAAACTGGATTTCATATTTTGCCAGTTAAATATTGCCGCTCAAACTTTACATATCAATTCAAGGCCTTTCTTTTTGAAATATATTTGATACAAAATCAACATTATGTGCCCAAGAAGAAAAAAAATCACTAAAACATAACTTTTGTGGTGGCCATGTATTTTGCAAGTCTTGCATACTTTAAATTGTCATTTCAACTCTTAAAAAATGCTTTATGTATATGATTCTAATGAAAAGTAGGTTTATCTTTGTGTAATGCTTTTTAGACATTAGATATTCCTTGTTTTTAATAACTGTTTTTATAATCTTGGATAACCTGAAATACATATTATTAGCATTTTAAAAACTAACAGCTGGATGCTTGTTGTATTTGGTTATTATTCAGTTAAATTGTGTATTTTGTCAAATACACTTTTTGTTCTTTTGTGATAATTTATTTCGTCCCTGAACTAAACTATTTCAAGATAGGTCGTCATATTTAAACCTATGGAAAATTTAAAATTCAATGATTAAAGCCAGTATAGTATAGCTTTTCAATGTTAGTTGCCCGCTACTAAACAGTAAAAAATACTTGCACGCTGATGATATACTCACTTTACCCTCGCCATCTTCATTAATTCGATAGTGGTATACTCGTCCATCATGACGGAGAGATATTGACCTTTGACCAGGAATACTTTCACTTTCTCTGACTAAAAAACTCCCATTGATCCCACTGCTTAGTAGGTACTCTGCTGCATTTCTAGAGATGGGCCCATGGTACCAGGAGTGTTTCTCCAAACTGTTGACAGGAGTGATGTAGTTGCTAGGGACCCAACCAACTTGACCTGAACGTGACTGTGCCTCACACCACTCACCTGTTCTATTGTATGATAGCACTCGTACTTGGTCCCCTAATAATTGAAATTAAAAGCAAAAGACAAAGAAACTTAAAAGCAAAATTATCATCAGCAAACTTATCCTCATGCATAAAAAATTTAAGACTTGTGTGTTTTTTTTTAACCAAACCAACTGGAAAATTAGGGTTCACTCAGTGCTAAGTAAATAATTAAGTTAAAGCATTGAAAGAGTTCAGTTATACTTTGAACATATGATTAAAAAATAATTGATTAAAAAAAAGGTTTTAGTTTACAAATTTACTATCAAATTAAGCATTTTGCTGAACAAGCAGTATAGTTATAGTGAAACATATGATGCAAAAAATGGCATAAAATTATGACCCTTGATTAGCATGAAAACAAACAAATTTTCAATCAAATAATGTGCAGATTACTTTAAGTGTACTATTCTTTCTATATTTAACTTAAAAGAACAACTGTAATATAAACAATATTATACCTTTCTTGAGAGAAAGTTGGTTATCTCCACCAGATTGGAAATCATAGAGTGCTACAAACAATTGGGGATCAGAGTCTTCAGGAGCCAGGAGATTCTCCTTGGACATCCACCGGGATGACCCATCATTAGGGATGGATAAGTTGCTAATATGATCTCCAAAGTCAGGAATATCTGGCAAAGGCCTGCTTTGCATCAGGGCTTCTGGAATGAAATGATCAAAATATGTCAAAATAAAAGAAATTAATAAAATAAAAGCTAATGTTGTGACATACACACATATTTATATATACTAATTCTCTATTAAAGCCATGGAAAAGGTAATATTTAAATAAAGTACATTATATATACTGATTACATTACATAGATTATACCCTTTTTGTAACCCAGCTCTATTGACTGAATGAAATAATTAACAAAAGCCTGTCTAATAAACACAACATGGATAAGTTGTTGAAAACTTCATCAGAGGTAGTAAAGTATAAAAACGTACATTATTATATGGTTCACATTCAATGATTAGGGCAGATGCCCTTCCTTGAGTAAAAATTGCTAATCTATATATTTAGCAGCAACTTTTCCAGACAAAGGGTACCTACCTAAAATGTTATATATCAACCATATGATTATATATGCATCTTATACTTTTTGATCCCTTTGGTGTATTTTCAACAACTTATCGATATTTTTCAACTTAATTTCACCAAGTCTATCATTCACTCTTTCATTTTCTACATACATGTTAGCCAAACATACATGTACATGAATCATTGAAATTTCTGAAGGTGTTTCCTTACAGTTAAATTTTATTAGTAACTCAGGTAAAAATCTTAAACAGAATAGAAATTAATAATATTTTACTTAGTGAGTATTTTCGTAGTTGTAAGGCTGATTAATTTGTAAGCAACTATTGAACTTTTGCTTTCACCATTAAGTTTAGATAATCTCAATGCAACTTTTGTAACCAAAACCTGCTAAACTGAATGGACATTTTATGCTTGAAATCTTAACCAGAATAAAATTAATTATCAGATACTGTTTAGTACAGATACATCAACGTGAACGTCTGAGCATGGATCAAGCATTTTTATTCAAGAATAGTTAAAAAAAAATTCTCTTCTAGCTTTTCTTCTATCTTTCTATGCACTCATCTCTCTATTACACAGAAAAGTTTTAGCAAAAATCATGTACATACATAAACATTTGAGCACACAAAGTGAAGAAGAAAATATTAACGTCAAATATAAAGTATACAAATCTGTCAACTTAACAGTACATGAGTCGTCGATATATCGTATTTAATGATATCTACTCAAGTTCTTTTTCACTTATTCTTCTTAGAGTCATCCAAATAATATCGTGAAGTTTTATTCTGTAAGTCTTTTACTTGGTTAATATAAGTATATTGGGAAACAGTCAATTCTTTATTATATAAAACGGCATATTTTTAACACTGTGTTACTTAATAATACTTGACCAAATATGATCCTTACCTTTCATATTTCTTACCGGTTTTGAAATCTGACCAACATACAATTGTGTTACAAGGTCTCAAAAAAAAAACAAAAAACATATTACATTATTGTTATATGAATACATTCAGAATGAACGATCATTTGTTTCTGTGAATCAATTTCATGCGTGATAACGTCATTACGGCTTAAGCTTACCATTTCAAACGGAATAGGCACACGTACTAGACGAGGAAAATACAGACGGAAAATTAAAAAGACACCACGCGCCCTCTTGCCACATTTCATCAAGCAAAACAAGTGTCGGTACCGCCTTTTGTTTGGAGGGGCTAACAGCTTCGGCTCAGCGAACCGACAGGACCAAACGAGAGGAACCGACTGTATGCGTGAACGAGTCTACCAAATTATTTAACTTTAAAACATATACGTATCTTCGTCGTTTCTTAGAATTGGAGCAATAAGGCACGAACACTTCTGCAATAGAATGTGTGGTTACCGAGCAGGTGCAACAACGAAGTCCCACAAATATCATTTGAAAAGAATGTCCCTTTTGCTTTTAGCAAGAACGAGAAAATACGTGGTCATTCAGTCTCTATTCAATCTATTACACAAAAGAGAGGCATTAAACACAATTAAATAATTCAAAACTTTACACATTTCAACGTTTAAAACAATAAAGTAGACAACATTATTTTGAATAGTCAGTCATTGCAACTCTGTATTACTTAACTTATGAATTACTGATTCTAACAAGTAGTAATTAACAAAAAAATAAAGGCGGGTAGAAACATGTGGCACTATATGCTCAGCACGTTTATACGGTTTTGCCATTTTTAATTAAATGGAAAGAGAAACTACGAGTGTCCTGGTCTGTAACACATTACAATAAAGAAGATATAATGTCTTAATTCCTTCTAAGGTTTCGTTACAAATCAAACAGAAGCTAAACACACACAAATGGTTGTATAATAACTTTAAGTTAAGCTGCTCCAGTAGAAAATTCACAAGGGAATTTTTAGTGAGAGCGATTGTGGTTAATCAGTTCAAACCCCTATTATTTTACCGATCACATGCAACATCACCAAACCTAACTAAAAGATTGTGCCGTTTGCACTAATTATAAGATAAGATGTTTGTAATTAAGCACAAAGCTACACAATGGCCTATCTGTGCTCTGCCCACCACGGGTATCGAAACCCGGATTCTAGCGTTGTAAGTCCGCAGACATACCGCTGTGCCACTGGGGGGGCTCCACTAATTATAATGATTATGAAAGTTTACAAGATTAATATTATAATGACGTATTTCTTTATTCGTAACTTCGTATTAAAAATTTATCACGAACTACAATCAACAGCAAAACGACTAAAAACCGGCTGGTTTATTTAGATCGTCGCCGAAATTCTGAAAACTTTACGGCTTATTATGATAAATGGTACACAATTAACAGCAAGCGAAGAAATGAAATTGTTTCATTGATAAACAACTTCAATACAGAAGTTCGTAATGTTGAAAAGCATGATAAGAAACAAACCATTTAGTAAAAGAAGTGGATTTATTTACACACACACACACACTGTATTTCTCTTGGCAAAAATGCACGTCTTGAGTAAAGTCAAAGTAATTTATTCTGGACTAAATCTTTGGTAGCTACAACGCATATACAGAGCAATTTTGATTTTAGGCGACAACATGTTTACAACAGATACCAATCACTGCTTCTCTTTATATCAGACGAGCTAAACACACACTTTCCACGATATGCTAATATTTTCACGCCTTATATAAGGAATTATTTACGGAATTAACTATATGTTTCAGATATTCACTCGAAGCAAGTATATATTTTAAACGTAACTATATAGTTATAAACAACATTCACAGTTTTCAATGACGATTATTTAAAGTGGACATCCAGTTGTTTAACTTGGAGCTTTAAAAAAAAAAATCCTTCTAACTAGCGGGGCACTCAGTAGAATCGCATACCTCCGCCACGCAGCGTTGACCATATTCGGCCCTCAAAAAATACGAGAACGTCAACGACGGACGAGGAGCATTTTTGGTAGGACAATGAGAAATAACGTTCTACATACGTCCACCAAGTTTCAGACAAAATCCGATCATTTAGACCGAATTACAGAGCAAAAATAGTGTGAAAAATCCGTCACCATGGTAACAGATTTTTTTTCGTGACCTCCTTGCTGTGATCTTGACTCTTCAAAAACTAATAACTTCTAAGTTCGATCACAGTTTAAATATATATCAAAACTTTCGTTCAGATCCAATCTGCCTTTTTCGAGAAATCTTGCTGACAAACACGCACAGGGGTGAAAACATAACGTCCGTCCACGTTCGGAGGCGGAGGTAATAAAACCAGTAAACTAATATACAAGAAGAATGTATTGCGTTTTCACACTACACGAATCTTGTACCTGTAACACTTTCAACACAAGTAGAAAAGTTTAAGTTTCGGTACACGCCTTCTTGGCGGGTCGTATTTAATACTTGTATCTTAACAGTTTATAATGGCATAATATGACTAAAATATGGTAAACGTTCACGAACGTAACACGATCACGACTACACACTAGTTAAGTCCAACACGTGTACGTGACGTGTATCAGAACTTGAAAGATAGACATTTATCGTTTAATACAGTGCCATTAACAAACTTAGGTCCGTCAAAACAATTTTTTGAAATGTTATATACACATAATCATCACGTTCAGATTGAAAGGGTTAATCTTATTATAATGGGGGCTTGCGACGTATACGTCCAAAACACGGATCATCAATCATAACTGGGTAATATTTTTATAATTAGGCAGTATTTTTATAGCTGAGCAATAAATAAAACAATTGAAATTTCCACAAAAAATGTTTTAGATTTAACCAATAAAATTTACAAAAAAGAAGCAAGTTTCAAATATAAAACAAACTTAAAATAAATTATTTGTTTTTCTTTAGTGAAAATCTCATAAGTGTTGCAACAGAAAAGCAAGACACTTTCATTGATAACTGCGTCTGCAATGAAATACTTCAATGAAATCTACTCCGTGATGTAATGCTGTGATGATAGCTCATTTTTAAACTAAAATTTCAATTAAATCCTTTTTCTCATGGATGGTGAACATTATTGAATGTCAAGTATGAGTACATTGTTGTAGAACTGTCAAATAATTCCAGAAAAGACCGCAGACCCAATAGCCTTCCGCAAAAACTAGCAGTTATACCTGTCGGAGTGCGTGTATTTTTGCTAGTATTACATTATTAGAGTATCTTTCGTTGTAACTAAATATTTGTAGAGGTATGTTTTAAATTAATTAAAAGGAAAACTAGCAGAGGTTCGAACGCTATCGAAGGGTTGGTTTCTTCATTTTTTATCATCGCTATGTGTGTTGTTGTAGGTGGTACTATCTTCAACATGGCTTAAAAAGTATCATTGATTTGAATCATCAACATTTCACAATTCCCTCGTTTCTTTAAGCATATTATACTGTGAAAGAAGACGAGTCTTGAATCATGCGTAATAAACTGAAAGACGACATCCTATAAGCAATGCATCATTGTGAAAAACGCATCCATGTAATCACACTTTTCATTACGTCATCCTCAATAATTGTTTTTAAAATACATTGTGCATAGGGAAGCACGACTACACGTGCATATAGCATGTCTGCATCAACTAGGTTCTTTGAAATTTCACTGGCAGACGAGATCCAAGTTTTCATG